TGCGCTCAGCGGCCACCACGCGCCTCTTTCGGGTCAGTGCGGCTGGGGACCCGGACATGGGCTGGGGGACCCCGGGCCGCTGTGCACCCCTTTCTGTCTCTGCGAGCTGGGTCACAGAACGTGGGGGCCTCGGGCTGTAGGAGCTCTGGATGCGGAGTCCTGGGCCGCCCCGCGCCCTTTTCTGTCAGTGCGAGATGGGGGTGGGGATGGATGCGGGGGTGTGGCCGGACCGGGAAACCCGCGATGTTGGGTCCCTGACACCGGTGGGGTGTTCGTGATGTGGGGGAACCGGAGCACGACCCATTCGGGTCAGTGCGGGACAGGAGGCCTCTGTGTATAGCCATGGAGGCCTCATGGCATAGGGTCGGTCTGCGTTTGGAACCTCCGGGCCATGCGAGGGAGGGCGGGGGGCTTGGAGCCAAGCTGGAGCGGGTCCAGGGTCTGTGCAGCCGGCAGAGCCCCCTTGTTTGTGGCTACAGGGTAGGGTCAGAGTTGCCCAGTCGCTGCCTTGCGTCTGTCTGGAGTCAGCGCCCGCCTCCAGGGAGGCGAAGAGCTGGGTTCATCTGCCACGCGGGTGGTCGCAGCCTTGGGGAGGTGGAAGGGCCTGGGGCTGCCTCCGAGAGGTGCGATGGAAATGCCCCGTTTTCAGCGAGCCTGGAGAGGCCACCGCCCCGGCTGGAGAGTGACCATGAGGTGACATTGGCGCCTGGCCTCCCTTCCATCTTGGGGAGGGGTCTGCTTTGGGAGCTGCTGGGAAGGTGCTTAGCCCCCCGAGCTCAGCTGCGACTCCCTCCTGGGCCAGCTGGAGCCACCGCGCCCCGATCTGGCTGGACGTGGCAGGGGTGCAGGGACAGAGCGCCAGCACCAACAAAGGGGTCTTTCTCTGCTGGCGGGGAAGAGGCTGACTCTTGTTAAGTTGGGATCGGCTGTTGTCTGACTGCTCTTGTCCCCACCCCCCTCCCCACATCACCCACGTGGGAGAGACCCCGGCGGTCACCCTGCTCAGGGAGGCGGAGGCAGTATGACAGTGTCCCCTCCATAGTTAGCCCTGGTCCCGATTGGGCTTTATTGCTCCCCCACCTTCCCAATTTCCAGCTGGAAGTGGGGAGTCCAGGAGGATGAAGGCCAGTGCTCCTGGGGGGATGTGGTCACTCTGGGACCATCAAGGTGGAATGGGCTCCCCTCCCGTGTTCCTGAGGGAGCTGGGCGGGGACAGCAAGGTCAGGTCCCCCCTGACTTTTGGAATCCCTGGAGGTCGGGCTTCCTTCCCGGGCCGCCCTCCCTTAGCCTCTCGCCCCAATTCGAGGCTCGCCCTTCCCAGGAATAGGCGGAGGGGCTGCGGCGGCCGCCAAAGCTCATCTTTTTGGCAGCAGCCTGGTTGCCAAGGGTTACCAGAGCTGGCTCTGGCTGTCTCTATGACAACTGGAGTTGCTCCAGCCCCCTCAGCCTCTGGGAAGGGGGCGGGACTTGGCCCCACAGCTCTAGAGCTCCGCCCCTGAGGAGCTTGAGGCCCCGCCCCACCCTGGACCCCAGAGTAAAATTCCTCAGGACCTCATCATGGCACGCCCCCACCTTCCTCATGTCTTCCCTGATGTCCCCTCAGGTCACCCCGTCTCACTGTGCTGCCCTTTCCTTGCCTCCTTATCTCTTGGACAAAAGAGAATTTCCTCATGTCCTCCCCCAAATACCCACTCCATCTTCCCCAGGCCCTGGTTCCTCTCTGGTCTCCCCAAATTCCTCCTCTGAGGCACCCTTTCCCTCACATTTCTGCCCCGTGAAGATCTCCCGCGGTTCCAGCCCTCCACGTCCCCCCAGGTGTTCCCATATTCCCCTCCATGTTCTCTCCACAGGCTCACAGCTACAGCCCCTCCATGTCTTTTCCTTAATCCCCTGCTGTGTGTCACACCCCAGCTCCCATTACCCCCACGCCGCTCGACTCCCCCGTGCAGACCCGCTGACCTCCCTTGCTTTATGCTCACGTGCCCCGCTCCGGGGCCTCATAGCCTACCCTCACATTTCCCATCACTCCCCTCTCACACCTCAGCCAGACAGCTGGGCACTAAGTTTAGTCCTTGGCAGGCACACGTGGGCTCTGGTTACTCCAGGCGGCTGTGGGTATCAAAGGGCCCCTCCCCAGCACTGCCCAGCTCGGGGAATCCCTGGGCCTTGGTCTCCCCACCCTGAAGGAATGGCTCCTAGCTCTGATGGCCACCCATCTTCTCACCCACAGCCCCTGGCCAAGCGGTGCCGCCTCCAGCCTAGAGATGCCGCCAAGATGCCTGAGAGCGCCTGGAAGTTCCTCTTCTACCTGGGCACCTGGAGCTACAGTGCCTACCTGCTCTTCGGCACTGACTACCCCTTCTTCCACGACCCGCCCTCTGTCTTCTATGGTGGGTCCCTAGTGGGGAGAGGGATAGTTCTGCTCTCAACACTGAGGAGAAGGGCGCATGGGGGAGCTGGCACTCATCAGCCACCCCGTTCTGGATGTCTGCCCCAGACAAGGGTGATCAAGGGGCCCTGGGGACGTATTACAGCTCAGGGGGGCATCCTAGAGGAGGTGACGGCTTTCGTGGGTCCAGGGGGGCACTCCAGGTGTCAGGAGCAGCACAGGCAAAGGCCCTGGGGCACAGGCTTGGTGTGTGAGCAAGAGAGCAGGGTAGCAAGAGTTGGAGTGTTTTCTAAATGGGATAGTCTATGGATTATAAAACGCTTCCTCTGGCTGCCATGTGGAGACAGCAATCTTATTTTTTTTCTTTAGAGAGAGAGAGAGAGAGGAAGGGAAAGAGAGAGAGACATCGATTCGTTGTTCCACTTATTTATGCATTCATTGGTTGATTCTTGTATGTGCCCTGACTAGGGGTCAAACCTGCAACCTTGGCATATCAGGGTGATGCTCTAATCAACTGGCCAGGGCTGAAATAGCAAAGTCTTGGGTGAGGATGGTAGCAAGGCCCAGGGGGGAAGGGAGGGATCAGTGTGGTTCAGACCAGCTTGGCAAAGAGATACAGATGGTGAGAAGTGGCTGCACCCATGGATTGGGTTAGGTGTGGGGGTAGTCAAGGCCTGGCTCCGGGTGGGATGGACAGGAGGGTGACCGCAGTGTCCTCTATCACCAACAAGCAGGTCAGTATAGAAAATATGGCCTGTGATGGGGGAGGGGTTCTCTGTTCCTATGCTGACCACCCGGCCGTGTATCATGGATGTGCTTCCTGCCATGTGACATAAACAGCCTGAGAGGGCTCCTGGTGGCACCGTAGGAGGGCCTGGCACGGAGCCCCTGCATTGCAGGGTCCTGGTAACAAGCACTGGGTTTACTGGGCACCCAGCTCTCCTCGTGGGATTGTGCTGCCCACATGGCCATTTTCCTACGTGCATTTCCCACGTGGTAAATTTCTAGGGGAGAAGTTTTAGCTGTCATTCAATTTTCCTTTATGCAAATGAACCATAATTGAACTCTCTTAAAATTTCAGGCATGGAGTTGCCTCTGGCTTTTTATAAATGACGCTACGATACCATGCTTGCAAGTTACCTGCTTCTTTGAAGGCTCATTTTTTCAGTACCAACTGTGTACCAGGTTGTGAGCAGGTCAGAGAAAGCCCCACAACAGACGGTGAAATATAAAATCTGTTACCAGCGATAGGTGCTGATGAGAACACTTTGGGGAGTGGGGTGTCTGTGAGGGGAGGGCATGTTCTACAGCAATGGGGGTGGCCCCACCAAAGGTGGCTTTTGAGTGAAGACCTGGAAGAAACACATTCCTGGTGCATCAGGAGCAGAGAGAAGCTCACCCGGCCAGGGCAGGGCGTGAGGAGGGCAGGTGGGCAGAAAGGGTACTTACCCGGGGGCTGTGAGCAGAGGTGGGGGCTCCAACCAGGACAGGACTGAGCAGAGGAGGGAAGTTGTTGATTTGAGAAATGTTTTAGCCTGGCCAGTGTGACTCAGTGGTTGAGTGTCAGCCTATGAACCAGGAGGTCATAGTTCAATTCCTGGTCAGGGCAAATGCCCAGATGGTGAGCTCGATCCCCAGTAGGGGGCGTGCAGGAGGCAGCCTATTGAAGATTCTCTGTCATCATTGATGTTTCTGTCTCTCTCCCTTCCTCTCTCTGGGAAATCAGTAAAAACATATGTTTTTAAAAGAAAAATGTTTTGAAGGCAGAGCTGGTAGGATTTGCTGCCAAACCAGAGATGGGTGTAAAAGGGGAGGGTCTGGGCTCCTCAGTGAAGTGGGGGGTCAGTAGGGTTGGGTCTAGGGGCGACCAGGAGCTGGGTTTGGGGAGCCCAAGGCCCTGATATTGGAGGTGGGAGAGGGGGTGATATCCAGTCCCCAGAGCAGCAGGTGGGACGTATGGAGAGGAGGCTGGAGGTTGTGAGCAGGTCAGAGCCCGGCCCTCCAACAGGTGGGGAGGGGCAGCTGACGTCTGGACGGTGAATTAAATGCCCCCCCCCCCCCCCCCCCCGCCGCCTCAGATCTGGGGCCCGAGGCTGGAGGGGGCAGGCTCACCCACGGTGAGTCTTACCGGTGTCATAGGTGGAAGATCTGGTGTCCTCTTTCCACAGTGGACTCTGCATCGAGGCTCTGCATGCTTTCCTTGTAAAGAGGGACAGAGGTACCTGGCAGTTGTGTGTGTGTTGGGGTGGGGGTGGGGCCTCCAGCTGCAGCGTTCCCGATTTGCTGTCAAACTTCGAGAAGCCCCTGGACGTGTTAAAGTGGGGGGAGATTGGATCTGACTCATGGGGAGTTTTGCTTTCTTTTATTAGGTAAAATGCTCGAAACATAAAGGTAACCATTTTGGCTAGACACAAAAAGACAAGTACTGTGTCCACTTATAGGAGGTCCCAGAGGAGTCAGATTCATAGAGACAGGGCCTGGGGGAGGGGAGGGGGGAGTGGGTGTTCAACAAGGACAGTTTCAGTTTTACAACAGGAAAGGGTTCTGGGGGGGATGGTGGGGATGGCTGCTCAACAATGTGAATGTGCCTTATGCGGAACCTAAAGATGGTTACGAAGGTTAAAGTTTACGTGGACCGTTTGTTTCTGGCTCCTTTCACTCAGCATCGTGTTGTTGTGTGTGTGTGTGTGTGTGTGTGTGTGTGTTATTGATTTCAGAGAGAAAGGGAGAGGGAGAGAGAGATAGAAACATCAGTGATGAGAGAGAATCATTGATCAGCTGCCTCCTGCACGTCCCCCACCAGGGATCGAGCCCACAACCTGGGCATGTGCCCCCGACTGGAATCGAACCCGGCACCCCTCAGTCCGCAGGCTGACGCTCTATCCACTGAGCCAAACCAGCTAGGGCTCGGCATCGTGTTTTCTGGGTTCATCCACACAGTGTGTCTGTCTTTTTTGTGGCTGAGTAATATTCCATGTGTGGAAGGACCACATTTTGCCTGTCCTTTATCTATTGATGGGTTGTTTACACTTTTTTGGCATCTGTGACTAGTGCTGCTGTGGACATGCATGTACAAGTGCCTGTCTAGTCCATTTTCAGTTCCCTTGAGCACACACCTAGGAGTGGAATTGCTGGGTAGCAGGGTCTGTGTGATCACAGCCTTTGAGCCCCCGTGGGGAGAGAGGACAGTTGGGAACACACTCAGAGGCCAGGAGGAGCTGGGGCAGTGCTGGGTAGGGGCAGTGGGGGGCCGGGGAAGTGAGCTAAGACATGGGCCGGAGGGGGGCCCCGGATGGGGATCTGCATGGATCTCCTTTGCAGGAGTGGCCAGAGCACAGATGAAGGGTCATCGTGAGGCAGGGGCATGGGTGGAGTCTAGGAAACTTAGGGCTCCAGGGGCTCCCTGAGTTAGGGGTGGGGCAGAGGAGGAGTGCCCAGTGAGCAGAGCCCTTGGCCCTGGTAATGGGCGGAGAAGAAAGGGGGGTGTCAGCGTTGCCGAGAAGGGGTGAGACCCGAGTGAAGGTGAGCAAACTACTTCTGCTTCAGCTGCTGTGCCAGCACCGTGAGGTGGGCAGCAGCCTCCATCCGGTTGGGAAATTGCTGGGGGCCGGGGCGGCTGGAACAGGAACGTGCCCTCTGGCTGGAGCATGCCTGGTGATTAAGAGAAGACGGGAGGGCACCCAGGGCAGAGTGGGAAATACTGCAAGGGACTGATTTCAGGGGTAGGAGCACCTTTTTCCATAAAACTGAAACTGCTCTAGAAAATAATGCTCATTAAATAAAAGAGAACAGGTGGAGAGTTGGGGATGGGAAACCAGTGGCCGGTACATCTGCAGACACACGTGGCCTGCCCCGGCATGGGGGGACTCACGCCTGGCTCCAGAGCGTGTGGGGGTCACTCGGGTCACTCGGTGGAGGCCCTGCAGGTCCCTGACGACACGGTTGGCTCTCCCCAGACTGGACGCCAGGCATGGCAGTGCCACGGGACATCGCGGCCGCCTATCTGCTGCAGGGAAGCTTCTACGGCCATTCCATCTACGCCACGCTGTACATGGACGCCTGGCGCAAGGACTCAGTGGTCATGCTCGTCCACCACGTGGTCACCCTGGTCCTCATTGTCTCCTCCTATGCCTTCCGGTGAGTCGAGGAGGGTGGAGGGCACTGCATGAGCAAGGGCGGGAGGCTGGCAAGGGCAGAGCTGATGCCTGTGGGGAGGAGGCATCGGGGTGTTCGTGGGGGAAGGTTCCAGAGAGATTCAGAGGGACGGGGTGAACAAGGTGCAGGGAAACCCGGATGGCACCTTGACCAGGTCACATGGCAGGTGTTTCCTGAACGCCCGCCATGTGGCAGGTGCTGCTGGGAGCACAGCCATGAACAGATAACCCTGCAGCCTGAGAGCCCACACGTGGCCACTGATCCTCTCCAAACTACGACCTGCTGATTGTTCTCAAATCCACCCCAATTTCAAAGGCAAAGGAATAAAAATACCTCGCCAAGGCCTGTGTTACATCCATCACATGTTGAAATAACAATATTTGGGGTATACGGCGTTAATTAGAATATATTATTTTAATTTCTCTCTCTTTTTTTTTTAACATGGGTGATAGAAAATCTAAATGAGGTCTACACTCTTGTTCGGTTCCTATTAGCCTCACTGCTCTAGCTGCACCCTCCAATGTAGTAGCCGCTGGTTACAAGGGCTATTTCAACTTTAATTAAGCTTAAATAAAATCACACATTCTGCCCTAGCCGGTTTGGCTCAGTGGATAGAGCACTGGCCTGTGGTCTAAAGCGTCCCGGGTTCGATTCCGGTCAAGGGCATGTACCTTGGTTGCAGGCTCCTCCCTGGCCCGGGCCCTGGTCAGGGCACATGCAGGAGGCAACCAATCGATGTGTTTCTCTCTGTCTTTCCCTCTCTCTTCCACTCTCCCTAAAAAAAAAAAGATCAATGGAAAAATATCCTCGGGTGAGGGTTAACAACAATAACAAAAAATCACACATCTGTCCCTCAGGCACCCCACCCACATTTCAGCTGCTCAGTGGCCGCATCTGGCTGGTTGCTCCCATGTGGGGAATGCAGGTATAGAACATTCCTGTTGTTCTAGAAAACCCTTAGATAGCACTGCTCTGGAGGATAGAATCAGATAACAGCCCCACCTCCCAGAAAAGGAAAACGAAAGAAAGAAAAGAATAATTTGTTTGAAGGTATTAACTATGGAGAAAAATCAAGTCAGAAGAGAAGGCCTGCAGGGGTGGTGAGGTGTAGGTGGGGCGGGTGGAAGGGGTGACAGGTAAGGAAGACCAGGAGGTAGAGGAAGGCTCTGCCAGCGCCGGGAGGTACATGTTAGGTGCTGGGAACAGCACGGGCAAAGGTCTCACAACAGGAAGGCCAAGTGGGGACAGAGACCTGGTGAGAGACCCATGGCCCCATCCAGGCTGAGTTCAGGACCTGGGCTCAGGCAGCGGTAAGGGGAACACTGGGGAGGGGACGGGGACGGCTCTCGGGCTTCTCTAGACCCTAGTGGGGCACTGCATTTCCGAGGCACCTGCAGCCCACAGCAAAGTTCAGGTAAATCCTAGAGGCCTGGGAATGTCGGCAAGTGTATGGGGGATCTGGACACAGAATGGCCCTGGCCTGTGGGAGTCAGCAGTCATGGTGGGTCAGAGGTCACAGAAATGAGGAAGGATCAGAGAAAGGACTTCCAGGCAGGCCCCTGGCCACCCGGGCACAGTGAGGTGAGGACCCCGGGGGGCTGTCCCCTGGTGAGTGCAGTCTGTGTGCTGCCGCTGACCTGGCCCTTTGGGGGGTCGGGCCGGGCAGGTGAGCCAGAGGGGTGGCTCCAAAAGGCAGGGAAGGTGTGCCCCAGGGGCCTGTCTTGGGGCCCTCCGTGCAGGGGTTTGGACCCTGTGTGACCTGCCCTCCCCTCTCCGGCCCGGCTTCCCTTCTCAGGTACCACAGCGTGGGCATCCTGGTGCTCTTCCTGCACGACATCAGCGACGTGCAGCTGGAGTTCACCAAGCTCAATGTTTATTTCAAGTCCCGTGGAGGCTCCCACCATCCTCTGCACGCCCTGGCTGCGGACCTGGGCTGCCTCAGCTTCAGCCTCAGCTGGTGAGCTGGCGGGAGGGGCGGGAGGGATGGGCTGGTGGGAAGGGGTGGGGCCTGGTGATGTTGGCGGGGCCTGGCAGGGATGGGGAGATGGATGGAGTGTGGTTGGGCAGGAAAGAACAGGGCAGGAATAGAGATAGGGGTGGGGCAACCAGACAAGGATGGGTGAGGATGAGCAGGGACAGATGGGTGAGGCCCGAGGGCATTGGGCAGAGACTGGGTGGGGCCACCACCCACCCTCCCTCTCTTGCCCACAGCTTCCCTGACCTGTTATTCCCACCACAGGTTCTGGTTCCGCCTCTACTGGTTCCCACTCAAGGTCCTGTACGCCACCTGCCACTGCAGCCTGCGCTCGGTGCCTGACATTCCCTTCTACTTCTTCTTCAATGCACTCCTGCTGCTTCTCACTGTCATGAACCTTTACTGGTTCCTGGTGAGTCGGCCTCCTCCAATTCCTCCCTCTCCTGGGCCGTGGTCCAGGTGAAGGCCCTTCTCAGGCACACCTCGGGGGTGGGGGGGGCATGTTAGGCCACGGGAACAGCCGTGCCCAGGGCCTGTGGCAGGAGCGCGGGGCCCTCAGAGGGCAGCGTGGTCGGGGAAGGCTCTTTCTTACCTGTGTCTTCCCCTCCCCAGTACATCGTGGCTTTTGCTGCCAAGGTGCTGACGGGCCAGGTTCGGGAGCTGAAGGATGTGCGGGAATACGATGCGTCAGAGGCCCCGAGCCCCAAGCCCAGCAAAGCTGAGTGAGTTTGGAGGGGCTGCCGCCCCGGGTTCGTTCCTTTAGTCACATCTGTCAGTCTGAGCGCGCACTGTGGGCAGACACTGGAGACACAGCAGCGATGAGGCTGAAGCAGACGCTGCCCCTGGAGTCTACGTCCAAAACAGAGACTGCAGTAAAGGCGTGGATGGGGTAGTGATGGAGACAGATGCCATAAGGATAGATATGGAGGAGGCGAAAGGGAGGTCAGGGTGGGGCAGAGTGGTGAGGGGCAAGAATCGGTGTCACTGGTGGGGCAGTGAGGGCCAAGCCGAGGGGCCCTGTGGGTGGTAAGGAGCAGCCATGGGCCAGGCAGGGGAGGCAGGGAGGAGGGGTGCCACGGGCAGCTTGGGCAGCCCATGCTCTGTCCCTGCTCCCTGACCCCCTGACGCCCCGAGCCGGAGACGGCCCAGATGGGAGTCCTAGGGAAGGAGAGGAAAAGGCTGGTCAAGCATCCTGGAGGCAGGATCCCCAGGACTGGTCAGCCCTGGGATTGAGCCCCTGGCCTGCAGGGCCCCAGGCGTGAACAGAGGCCAGTTTGTGTGACAAGCGGGGTCCAGGGTGCGCCGTGCCCCAGAGGCAACACGAGGGGTGTATGAGCAGGTGGGAGGTCAGGGTGCTGACCAGGCAGACCTCCAGTTTAGCCTCTGGAGGGAATGGTGGTTGTGGGGAAGCAGAGGGCTCACGGCTCAAGGAGGTGGTCAAGGTGGGTGGCCAGGAGGATGAGGAGCAGAAATTTTAAAATCTCCGTGAAAGACGGGAGACGAGAAGCAGAGGACGGGGCATTGCCTGATCGGAGCACGGGACCAAGGGAGGGCTCTCAAGGCGGCTCAAACAGAGAAGCACTTTGTACCACCGACATGGGCTGCAGGCGGGGTGCACCTCAGCCAAAAGCCGGCCCAGGGAGGGCGGGATCGGACAGGTGGGTGGAGACCGTGGACACGAGAGGGCTTGGCAGCAAGTTGGGTCCCCAGTGGTTAGATCCCAACTCCGTTGTAGAACTGACCAGACTTGCTTGGATGAAGGTGAAACTGAAATAAAAGGATCAAAGGTGACCCAAGACTTCTGGCTCGAGCTGCCATTTACCAAAATGCCGTTTACCAGGCAGGGTTCTGTGTGCCAGTGGGGCCGGGTAGGCGTTCCTTTGGGGGGTGTTTGACTCCCGATATCCAGGGATCCTGAGTCAGGAATTCTGCTGAGGCCTCAGCACGGAGCCTGACTGACCCTCAGAGGCGTCCGGAAGCAGCAGTGGCTGAGAGAACTCCAAGGGCGGGGGGGAGAGGCTCCTGCTTGGCCAAATCTAAGAATCTGAACGCTCCTCCTGCCGCAGAACAGCCAGCTTCCGGGGAGAGTCCTTGTAAATGCAAAGCCCCAGGCCGTGCCCGAGCCTCGCCTGGTGCTGCTCCCTGCTCTGTCTGCCAGAGGATGTCCGGCCAGAATGTGGGCTGAGGGCCTGGTACCTGCTAGCATCCCCACCAGGACAGCAGAGTATGAACTCCACACAGATATGACAGGGTGTGCAGGGGGCACATTGCGCGGTCAGTCCGTGGGCAGCACCAGCAGACCTCGCTGCCCCCCGGATGCCTAGTCAGCGCAGTCGGGTGTAAAGATGGGGTGAGTGGTCGGGATGCCTCAGAACCATCAGGTCACGGAGAACAAGGAGCCTGCGGACCTGCCCAAGTCAGAGGACTGAATGCAGTGGGGATCCTGGACCAGAAAAGGACAGCCGTGGAGAAACGGGAACCTGGGGAAAGCCTGCCCTTAGCTCGGAGCAGGATCCGGCATCGGCTGCTTAGTGGAGACACACGTTCTGTGGGGATGTCAGATAGTAACATCCGCGAAGCTGGTCAGCGCTGCACTGGAGTTCTCTGGACTATCTCTGCGACGTTTCTGCAAATCTAAAATTATTCTAAAATAAAAAGTTTATTTAAAAAATAAAAGGCATGAGTGACATAAAAAACAGCACTGGATGTTATATTACTTTCCTGGGGCTGCTGTCACCAAGTACACGGACAGGGCGACGTAAAGCAACAGGAACGTGTTCTCTCACATTTCTAGAGGCTCAGACGTCGAGTTATCAGCAGGCACTCGCTCTCGGAAGGCTCTAGGCGAGGGTCCTTCCTGCCTCTTCCAGTTCCTGCGGCTCCGGGGGCTCCTTGGCTGTGGCTGCATCGCTCCGCTCTCTGCGTCTTTCTTCACGTGGCCTTCTCTTCCCTCTTGATTTTCTGTGTTAAACTTCATTTAATTACATCTGCAAAGGCTCTTTTTCCAAATATAGCCACTGTCACAGGTTCCAGAGATTAGGGTGTGGACCTCTGTTTTCAGGGACCACCGTTCAACCTACGAAAGCTGTGAAGTTTCACACGATTAGAAAGCTGGAGAGAGAGTCAGTCAATTAAAAGCTGTGAAGAAATTACCCAGAAGCAGCAAAAACAGATGGCAACTATGGCAGCTAGAATTTTAAGAATGACCTGGTCTAGCCGAATTCTAATAGGAGACAGGTGGGGAGAGACAATAGGGGAGACATAATGCTGAGAATTTTCCAGAAAGTGGCAAGACATCAATCTTAAGCAGGATGAAAAAAAGGCATCCGTGCCCCAAACACATCATAGTGAAAATGGGAAACGGCCACAAAAAGAAGAGACGACCCATGAAACAGACTAGCAACAAGGGACGCTAGATGATAAAACGAAATAACCAGCAACGAGGAATTTCATACACAATTTTAAAAATAATTACTCAAGCCCTGGGTGGTATTCCTCAGTGGTTAGAGCTGCTGCCCACACACTGAAGAGTTGAGGGTTTGATTCCCTATCAGGGCACCTACCGGATTCCTGGTTGGAGAACATGTGGGAGGTGGTCAATCCATCTCTCTCTCTCTCTCTCTCTTTCTCTCCTTCCCTCCCTTTCACCTCTGGAAAAAACAATGGAAAAAATATCCTCAGGTGAGGATTAACAGCACCAACAAAAAACACACACAAAAAAGAAGTTACTTAAGAGAAGTATTCCTCTCTGTGAAAAATCAATAAAAATATATTAAAAAAAAAAAAAGAGAAGTAAACACTAAGAAAGTTATATTTCAGAAAACTCTCTCAAGAAGCAGATCATCAGAGAAACTGATACATATCTGTATAAACATTTTAATTCCCTAATGTGAGAGATATAAAATAATTAGAACTAAAATGTTAAATATCAGAACAGAATTGGGGGTTTTGTATTTTGCAAGAAGGCGGGGATTACCTTTCAGCTGTATTAGGTACTTTAACACTATCAGAGTTAACAAAAAACAGGTACGAAAGAAATGCAAAAGGGAAAGGTTAGAAAAGGCTGCATAAATAATGCAACGTAAGAGGGTAGAATCTCAAATACTAGGCATCCAAATAAACACATGAATAATCATGACAGTTAAGAGATTGGCCTTAAAATATATATATACTGTTGCCCTAACCGGTTTGGCTTAGTGCAGTGATGGCGAACCTATGACACGCGTGTCAGAGGTGACACGCGAACTCATTTTTTTGGTTGATTTTTTCTTTGTTAAATAGCATTTAAATATATAAAATAAATATCAAAAATATACATCTTTGTTTTATTATGGTTGCAAATATCAAAAAATTTCTATATGTGACACGGCACCAGAGTTAAGTTAGGGTTTTTCAAAATGCTGACACGCTGAGCTCAAAAGGTTCGCCATCACTGATGTAGACTTAAAAAAGAAATACATTCTAATACATGTGACAACATGGATGAACCTTGAAGGCTGTTATAAACTGAATTGGATTCCCCCCAAATTCACACGTTGAAGCCCTAACCCCAGTGTGACAGTGTTTGGAGATGGGACAACCTAATCACTTCCTTTCCATGAGCCCTAACCCAATAGGACGTGTGTCCTTGTAAGGAGAGGAAGCGACACTGGGGATGCCGCTCACAGAAAAGGCCGTGTGAGGCCACAGTGTAGTATATATACACACATATATATAACAGTATATATATACACACACATATATAACAGTGTGTGTATATATATATACTGTTAAAAGTTAAAAGACTTCAACTCCAAGGTACATAAAAGTTGCAAGTGAAAAAGGACGAGAAATTGGGGTGTAATTCTTTTTTTTTTTTGATGTTTCTTTTCTTTTTTTTTAAATTAAATCTTTATTGTTCAGATTACATTTGTTCCTCTTTTTTTCCCCCCATAACTCCCCTCCTTCCAGCTCCCACCCCACCCTCCGCCCTCAC